TCCTTTTTCGTTCGTCCCTGTTCTGGTTCCTGTGTCGCTCTTGAGTGACTTGTGAGACTCAGGTTTCTGTGATGTCACGGAAAACCTCATTCGTTTACTCGTTTACTGCGGAATACAGTAGTATTTCCTCGTCACTTTCCTCTTTCCTCTGTTTGTGTCCATGCTCTCCGGGGTTCTCGCCTTTCGTTCCATCTTTTCTCACCCCACACCCACACTCGTTCGTCCGTCCTTCCTTCCCAAATTTTGGTTAAGAATGTACTCATTCATTCACTGATCCTCCTCCACAAGTTTCCGTTTGGGCCATTTGCTCCTTCCTGGCCGTTTCTGACATTATTGGCGCTCTCGCCAGTTCTCTTTTCTAGAAGGACACGAAACCCACGTTTGCCCTTCTCTGAAACGCGCCCGTACACGCGCCTTGCGTTCTGCCTCGTACGTTGAACGTTTTCCTAATTCTACCAACACCGTTCTACAATGCCTGTTACGAGACGTAATGAATCAGATACGCGCTACGATTGACCCAGTGAGTACAAGGAAATCATGTTCCGCTGCGGACGCGAGGTGGGTCGTTCTCGTTTGGAGCCTCTTTCGTCCCATCTAATTTTCACGTCTCCCTTATTCTCGTTCTATGTTTGTTCTTCTGGTATCCTCCTGGTGAAGGTCCAGACCGGATTTGCTTTTTCCCTCATTCTCGAGCCACTTTTTTTTACCTACGTCCGATTCGGCACTGCGCTACTTTTCGTCCCTCCCAACCAGAGGCGCCTCTCTGCTGTCGTTTGGCGCAGGTCCTCCCGACGATCAAAATCGTGCTCGGGACCCGAAGGACAGGCTACACATTGACCACAAGCTCAAACGGTGGTGCCAGTACGTACGGATCTCGACGTCTCGAAGCCAAGGGCTTTTAGACGTCAACATCTGTGACTACGCCACAAACCTCAAATTGGCAAAGGGAATGTAGATGTGGTTGTCGGTGGGAGGGGGGGTAAGGAGCCCGCGAATCGAGGCTCAAACGTCGCTGGCAGACCTTATTAGCTGGGAAGCTACACGTCGAGCTGGGGTTTGGCTCAAGGAAGGTCGCAGGCGTGGCGGGACCGTCAAGTGGGGATACTGGAGGGCTAGGCTCGATGCGGAGGCTTCTTCAGGCTCTGACTGCTCCGGTATGAGACTCATTCTCTTCTTGGAGCTTGCCCGATAGCCTCACCAAGCCTGAGTGTCTTGCCGTCGCCTCTTTTTGCCTGCCACAAAGAGCTCATATTACATATCGGATTCACTTCCCCCCTATGGGGAATGTGTTATGAGTGTCAAGAAAAGTTGCTGGTAATGATGCAGATGGACGATAGTAAGTTAGATTGACTGTGTGCAATATCACGATACCTGTGCTTGTATCAGTCTAGGCTAGATCCAATCTACCAAGTTTGTGGGGTTTTGGCGCTGGGTTCTGGATGACTCGAATCTTTAATAGGTTTATGTTATGTTGTGATGGAAGAGGAGGGAGAAGCTGTTAACAAAGCTAAAGATATAGGACCTGCTGTTGAACGTGTGGGTTACAGGAGATTTAGGGTCGCTCAGCGAAGTTCTCGAATATTCGGTTGATGAGAATGATGACAGTGAGCAATGTGTTCGCCGGTGGCTTTCACTGCAAGACTGTATTATGATCGTTCATTTGAGTCCTGAATCCTGAGCTACTCTGCTGTTCTCCGCCGAGGGTTCCTGTCGAGAAATATGAGGGTGTGGTCTCTAGTATTTTTCTGATTTATTGCTGGACCTTTGAGATTCAGGTGCGAGCTGAAGGTTCGAATACCCGCCCTCCGCGGTCGCTGGAACACTCCCCCTATTCGTACAGAATAGAAACTTCCCACGCCCGCATACTATTACTCACTTCTTTTCAATCACCATCATTCAAGCTCCCAGCTAATAATAATGACTCTGGCCACGCTCTCTATTTCCGTCCCCCTTTTTGTGCCCAGTCCTCGGCAGGCAGTGAGATCTTCACTTCCTCGGCTATCGACCTAGAACGTTTTCCTCCCGGGTCACTCCGAATAGACCCACGTTTCGAGTTTTCTACACCTCTGCTCAGATGTCACAGTAGAAGGGGGGGTCCTGGCGAGTCAACATCCTTTTGTTCGCCACTTATAGACGCGTCTCTACCCGATATCCTCCAATCTCTTTCGCAGCGAGACTCGAGTTGGGCTTGGTACATCCGATTACCTGCGTCAACTTGCCTTCAATCCCACTGTTCTGACCGTGTTCGTGTCCGCGCCGCACCAACAATGCATATTCAGGGTGATCTCCTTTCTCTTATCGTTGGTTCCTGTTCTACTGTTCTTTCGACTCTAGCCTCCGGCGTCTTCTTCAACTTCTGCTTCTACCTGGATATCAGACTTACCTACGATCCCGCCTCCGCCCCACCATTTCTCAGAGCTCGTAAATGCCTAACTCCGTCACCTCGTTATTTTGGTCCAATTCATACCATGTCGTACCTATTCCAAGATTAACTTGGAGTTTTGCCGCGCAACATGCATCTACAACACCCGAAAGGTCGAATGATCTACTGGTCAATTCAATATTTTGTCCGACGATGTGCGTCTGCCGACTCCCGAGTCTTCTACGCACGTCTGGAATTCGTGGGAGGGATGCATCGATGTCGATGTTTACCTTTCCTTGTGAACTCGGATTTCGACCACTCGTTCTCGGCGTGGTCTACGCTCCTCGTGATCCCGGGATGTGTACAGGACAGTACAGGAATCTAGGCTAAGACTGGGCTCGCCGCTCGGCGACGTCGACACCCCCTTCAGTCTGCGTCAGCGTCATCTGTTCAGAATCAATGTCCGGCAAGACTGAAATATCCACTGATGCCCAGGGGATGTTACGCGGGACTCGGGAGCGGCACGGGTACGTGGGTTCTAATCGCCGTCTTTACAACTTACAAGTTGACAAAAATTGATTGACTGCGAGGAATATTAAACCGGGGCGGGATTGTGGACCAGAGACACGGAGTTCCAGGACTTGAGTAGATTGATCTAGTTTGTCAGTGTTGCTGGGATACAGAGGTCCTAGGTAGGATAACATAACGGTGTAGTCTGATATTAGCAATACCAGGTGGGATGGCGTCCGCGACCGTTCTGAATTCATGCTCGACGGAGTCGTTGCTTCAATCTTTTTCCGAACCCCAACTATTCATTAGGTCCGAGTCGATATTCAGACGCCTTGAAGTAAACTTGCTATCGTCTGCTGCGAAGGTACTCACCGCTAGGGTGTTTATTCTGATTCATTTTCGACTTCAAACTAAAATGTAGTCAGTACATCGTTATTCCTCTGAGCCTCATTCATCATGCCTTTATGTCGAAAACAAATAAAGCTATACTCGAAGTCTAACGACGCTCATCGGACGCCCATCGAACGTCCCAGAAGTACCCGCGCCACAATCCCAGTTGATTCAGTCGTGCTGAGATGGGCACAGTTACCACTAGTATTGTCGATACGCTCAAGTTGTTCATATTATTTTATTCGCATCCTCAGGCATTAGTTTGTGGCGACCCGCAACCAAGGTCACATCCATCGATGGGTATTTCGAAATCCCATCCGGTATCTTCAAGGACCGCAAACCCAATCCACCGGGACAAGTGCGACCTCCAAGTTCCCGGCTCCCTCACTCTTTTATGTTCCTGCCCGTATTCCACCGCCACAAGATAGCAAATACCTTTCGTGCGTACATTGACAGGTGACCGACCGGCGACGGACGTTACTTAGTGACTAGCTATCCAATTGCCAGTTTGCTCATTCGAGCACAGCATGATTCCTCTCCCGCTGCCTCGCCACAACCACAGACCCATTAATCTCTCTGTTCTTTCTCGTCCGGTCGCCAGATCTTTATGAGCAATGGCTGAGGACAAACTTAGCCCTAGGCTCAAAAATACTCTCTCCCGGATTCTGCGGTACCGATACGACTTTTTATACTTCTCCTTGCCACCGTCGCAGATCGATGGACTTCCGAGTTACGGGTTGACATTTATCTGCTGATTGTCGGAAGTCATGTTGTCTACAATTGTCTTGTGCTTTCTATTTGTACTAAGCACTTAAACGACATGGACATATATTTGCAGTATAGTACTAGCAGTGGCGCGGCACGCCACAGTTATGAAGATATCGTGGCCGTAGTCGCGTGTCCAACTTAGCAGTTGAGCCACTACAAGCTTTCTCTCTAAAGCATCTTTATCCCGAGTTTCCAAGTTCACAGGACGACGGCGGTATGGTTGAGGCGACCTGTGCCTGCCGTCCGACCGTTTTACTTCGCGTCCCAACGGGGTTCGCGGCATTCCTCCTGCCACCTAAGGATCCTCCTTGCCTCCGCCCTGCGTCGGGATTCAGCGCCTTGTTCGCTATTATTCTTTGGCTTGGTATGGAGCCCTTTAATTATAAGGAACCTAGGATTTTATTGTTCTATAGCTATGGGCTCCGTCGTGATCAATCAATATATATGATCAAGTACGTACTTACCTTATTGTACTAATAATGATATAGGGACATGGTAGTCTAGTAAGTAGAATTACAAGAGCCAAGCGGACGCCTACGATAACTAGTACTGTCCAAGGTCATTGTGGTATGTCCATGGAGGGAGCAACCCTCAGCCTCTCTACCACCGTTCAATCAGCCTCAAGATCCCAATTTCAGCGGAACATATCATCCAGGGTTCGTCGTGCATTGCACACTGTCTCCTCCGACGCCCACCCACCGATAACGTCTCCATACCAAATGGGTCGACTGAAAAAGAAAAAAGAGTGAGCGGCGGCGTGCCTTATGGTACCTTGCCCAAACCCGATTGATTTTCGTCCGAGTCCGACGATGCTGGCAGTTGACCAGGTGCTGTGCTCCTTCGACCTCAGACTTGGTTTCCTCTGAGCTCATTGAAGGTGATAAGTGGTAGAGAATACCGAAATTGTCCAAGTGAGAGCTTGCCGATGGGCGTACACGGCCAATATACGTCATTGAATCCATCCGCCATGTCCCTCTTAGCTCAGTGGTAGAGCGCTTCACTAGTATTAGTTCTGGATGTTCACGCACTATGAAGAGGTCAGTCGTTCAAGTCGGCTAGAGGGAAATTAGAGAATGGAGATTGTGCTGATTTTTTCCTCCCGAGTTCAAGAGGCAAAATATGCCAGAAGATTGTCCAGCCACAGTAATATCTCTGCTTACAGTACCCCAAACCCGTTGCAATGAAGAAAGACACACTTCGGAAACTGGACTCAAATTCCCCATCCCCCAGTCTCCGTCCCCGTTCTCTCTTTCCATATTCCATCCTCGCCGGCCTGCCTGGCGCCTTACTTACCAACAACCCATTACTGAGACTCCCGAAACCTTCGTCACCGTCTACGAGTACATGATCGAAACACGAAAAATAACGTCGAAATCACGCCTTCCCCTCTGAGCGCCCACAATTTCATTCCTCAATGGCGACTTATCACACAGTAGAGCAGTACATCTTCCAAGAAAAACCTTTTAATCATTCCTTCCTTGCTATTCCCTTTTGTTTCTTTGTAAAGTACTGCATAAAACGACGATGCTATGGTATCGGTATTGGTTTCGAATGGTTTGCTTTGATGTGATATATGTGGATGTGCGCGTGTACGTATAATAAACATGATGCGGATGGAGGGTTTATGGCTATGGCTGTGAGGTGTGTGAGGTGTAAAGGAGAAACGACGATGATAGCATTGACGACAAACGGGATACGAGATACGGGGTAGGGGTAGAGGATAGAGGTAAAACATAACTTGTGGATTTGTGGAGGGGGTAGCGGGAACTTTTTGGTGTGCGGGAGATCTGAGTAAAAAGGGTGGAGAGACGGGTGGTAGATGCATGCGGTGAGGGGATGTTGTAGTGTATGGTATGCGGGATGTGTGGTATGAGAGGAAGGTATCAATGCATATCGATTGAAGAAAGGCCCAAAAAATATCGAGGAGCGAGTAGGGGTGCAGTTGAATGACGAGATGATAGAAAAACCAGGAAAGAAAAACTCTAGGGGGAAATAATAAGACATGGTGAGGAAATCCGGAGGTAGTCGGTTGGACGACATTTTGAGAGTTGGCGTTGGCGTGGACGTTGGCGTAATAATTTACAGTTGTTGGTCATTGATGTTGGAATGAAAATGCAATGCTGAGGTCGAAGAATAGAAGAAAACTTGAAAGAGATTCCCAGGGCCTGATTACTTCCTTGCCCTATCCACCAATCCACTCCTCCCGTTTCCAAATCCAGGAGCCATGGTCCCACCGCCTATTCCTTCCAACTCTTCCACGCGAACTCGACCCCGCGTACTCGATCTCCTATGACCATTTTCCCTCTCCCTGACCACGCCATCTCGATCCATTCTGGGAGGCGGAGACGAGTTCCTCCGGACTGGTGGGCGACCCCGCGAGCGTGAACGCGAACGTGAGGGAGAAGGCGAACGAGAAGGCGACGGAGACAAAGAAGGCACAGGGGAGGGCGAAGAGGAAGAAGGATAATAGTCGTTCAGGTGTTCAGTGAACCGACTAGTTGTGGCGGCCATAGCGGTTGTTGTACGCTTTCGGCCGCGAGGACCTGGTGTGCCTCCGCCCGCGTGCAGGGACGCCAAAGATAGCTTGGGCGTCGGAGGAGAGGGCTTGACGAGTGTAGACGAGGATGTGGACATTGTCAACGTTCCTGACGCCGTTGCAGTGGTCGTTGTTGTCGTCGCGCTAGAAGTCGACATCGAGGGCGCGCTGGGCAGGGCCAACAACGAAAAGTATGCTGGCAGGCTGGCACGATTGCGTGATCGTCGTGCTAGTTTCGCTGTTGCAGCCTTGGGCTGACTGTCTTCGTCGTCGGAATCAAAGTGGTAATATATAGGTGCGCTTCGGCTAGGAGCTGAGGCCTTTTGTGGGTGATGATGGTTGTTCGTTGACGCTGGACGACGGGCGTATGAAAGAGGATTGTGGTCTGCGCCGACTACGTATGGTGAGGTATGTTCTTCGTCGTCGTCGTCTTCGTCGGTGAGCAGCTCAGAGGCCGACGATGAGGAAGCGCTGTATGAATAGCGTGCGGCTCTCGAGGACCGCAGTGAGGATGAGGTAGACGACGGAATGAGAGGTGGAACGTCGTGAACGTCGTTGTCCGCTGGGCGAAAGTGCGGGGAAGAGAGTGCAGAGGACGTCGAGGACGTTGTGGCCGAGTCAGCCGCTGCACACTCGTCGCTGCAGAAAGCAGCCTGTGAGGAATCGTCGAGCAAATGTCGACCGCAGAATATGCATCGTTCTTCGAACATTCTTGAAAGTTTTTCGCAAAGCGTTTGGTGGGAGGATCGAGAGCTAGCGGCACAGGGTCCCTCTTTGGTTTTATAAAAGAAAAACAGATTTCAGAGAGAAATAAATAAAACTACCCTTTTAGTAAAACCTTACCCTTTTGGTAGTCACGTCACAGCCGCTGAGCTCGAGTCAGTTTGGGCCAAGATCTGGATCTGGGATCGAAGTACCCCCCTTGAGCTTTTCACCCAGAACGTGTGTCAGCACCCTCGTCATTGCACACCCCCGGCAACTCCTTCTTCTCCGGGCGTTGCTACCGTCCGGAGGGCATTCCCACCGCAAATTCTAGACCGGCTCGCTGAAGAACGTGTCGTGTCGACCTCGGTCATTTGGTCCCCCGGGTACACACTCTTCACAGTTCACAGTTCACATTCTTCACACCCGCACTCTGTGTACTTCCCTCGCAAGCGACAAGAAGAATGAGTACGAATAGCGAGCTATGACGCCACAAAATAACATTTTCACTCGGTTAATCGCCCTGTCATGGAATCCTGTCAATCGACTGGAATAATCGCGTACGAAAATCATAAAATTCCATTCACACTCGGAAGGTTCGGGTATTTTTTCGCCATAGAGTGACTTTTGATTTTTGTTCTACGCGTTTTCCCATGAGCAAACGGGTACCCTCTCGCTCGCCGCTCAGACGGAAAAGTCACAGGGCGAGGTTCGCGACTGGGGGTACCCTACCCGTCGCGTACTTTTGACTCCACGTATGTACCTCCTCCAAGTTTGTTACTTGAAGCTGTACGTTCTGTGAGAACACGGCCACCCCTAGGCGTATGCACACAACATAAGAGAATCATATCACCCGTTATTGCATGACCCAAGGGGCTCTATGTACCCCTTAGGTACAAGTCGCGTCAAAAGAACCACACCCGTATTCCCGATTCCCGATATCGGATAATTTCGGCCTTCCGTCCCAATTACAACGTCCTGAGTGTCGCTTGGGGGTGCACCCTCCATAATCTGGAGGAGGTCCAGAATCAATATTCGAGTCATCGCCTGTCATAAACGTCGTGTATGGTCTAATATCACCCTCGGACCTCCGTTAAGCTTGCCAATTTCCATTCCCCATCACCATCAATTAACCGCGCCATCGCCGAGGGGGTCTTTCTTCATCGTGCAAACTGTGCGCCATTTTGCGCACCTGCGAACCCTCCGAGTCAGACAAGGTCACTAGCTCAAAATCAAATTTGATTTTGGGGGGGGGGGGGCTCAACTGTGCAGGTGAGTGGGTGGGAAGGTCCTGGTGATCTTTCTCATCCCGAGTCCACGTTCATGGTGTGAGAGACTTGACCGGTGACCTTCGAGAAAATTGGATCATGGAAGATGTCAGCGAGGCAGCAAAAAGGTAACGAGTAAGAAAGAGTCGAATGGTGTACTGAGATGTTCAATATACGAAGTGAGAGAGAGAGAAATCATTGAAAAACATTATTCCCCCTAGCCGACTTGAACGACTGACCTCTTCATAGCATTGCTAAACGTACTCGTAGCGATATACTAGTGAAGCGCTCTACCACTGAGCTAAGGGGGACTTGATCAGCATCCTTATCTTAAATATATATTTGTTTCGCAGTGACCACATCCTGGAGTGCTTACACAGGGAAAAGATATTACCGTTGCTGCAACTGCTTCTGAATCTTTGCACAACCGCGGGCTATAGACTGACAGCTCTACTCAGCAACGGTGCTCAAATCCCCTGAAAATTTTCTCATACCGCCGCATCTTCGACATATCCAAGCCACTTTCCGCGGACTCCTCGTTGACGCTCACCTTGAAAATTGGCTGCTGGCTCCTGGTACATGATTACGCCTATTCTTACTACCCGTCTGCAATGGCGTTCTCAGATGGTTCCCGTGCACCACCCGTGATGAGAGAATCTTGGAGCCTCTCGGAGGGAAGTCGCACACTCTCGGGCTCTTCTGGGCTGGGCAGTGAATAGACTTCTTGCGTACTACAACGACGTAAAATCGCAAATTCCGCAGTCCTAATGACGCTAGCTCGTTCGACGTGAGCATGCATTCCCCCCTCTAATCAGTCAGAGGAGTCAGGTGTTGCTCCCAGCCCACGGAATAATGAAAAATCCAGTTAGCAGTAACACCCCTCCCCACCCCCCAACAAAGTGCGGAAATACGCAACAGGTAGCTTGCCACCTACGTATGGGCGTGTGTATGTGTCACCGTCATTTGTTTTTTGTTCCAGCGAGTCCAAGCAAAAATGCCGAACTCCACCCCGTTGCAATGGTGATGATGCTCATCGTGGTACCCCCTCCCCTCGTTTTCCTACCTCGGCAACGGACAACGAAACACCATGACATTCTGTTGCGACGATGACGCAGGTACATACCCTTTACTCGACGTGATTTTCTTCGTATGTTGCTCCACTTCTTCACGACACTTCACGACGTCGGACTCGGACGACCCATATGGTAAGTTATCGCCGCTGAAGCGCTGAAGTCGCGACTCGGGATGACGTTGGTTACTCAAATTTCGCCGACGTCGATTGAACGTTTCAACCCCCTCCCGGAAGGTCAGTTGATGGCCGTTTTTGGAAGAAAGGTGAAGAGGACGTCGACGTTGAACGTTGAGGGGTGCCATTGAAGAACCTGAAATTTGCAATTCTCTCCCCTCACCTCAGGGATCGTCACGTTCCCAAAGGGGCCGCAATAGGCTCGTGTACTACTTACTGTTAGTAGGTTTTCACTAACAAGAGTTTTGAGTTGCAAGACCAAACACCACGCGTCTGATGAGACACAGGCTCACATCAGGTACACGCTCACATGACTGAGAACCTCCATATTTGGAAGCCGAAGGAAGATTCGAGACTCGAGCGTTTGATGACGTATGTGGGCGCGTCATCCCAGATGTTGTGGAGTCAAATATGTTCAAACTCGTGGCCCGAGAATAAAATAAAATAACACGGAACAAGCGGAACAAGCTACTTGGCCGAGCTCGAAGTTTTTGGGGGGTCTTGTCAGGGGACAGATTGATTGAATTTAGCAGTCATAATTCTCTGTAGATACAGGGGCGACTAGACCTGTGACAGGCCCGTCAATGAGCAAGCGTCGATTGACGGACCTGGACAGCTGAGTTTAAATTGGCTGAGGACCCGGCGCCTTCCTTTTCGGGATTTCAGTATTGATCGAGTGATCGAGTGCTCGCGTGGTTCCTGTGGCAGTAAATATTTTTCTTTCCTTCCGCCCGAGCGGTCAACCAGGATGGGAGACGAAAACGCGGTTCAAAAGGCTGTCGACGATACTTGAGACGACAATAGGTTTGTGTAAGATATTTACTGGGTAGAGATGTGTACTACGCAGGAATGAGCACCAAAGTAAAGAGAAAGAACGGAAATTCTAATTACTAAATGATCCCAAAGACAATGAGTATGAGGTATGTTGTCTTGATCATAGCTCGTACCACGGCTATTGAATATCGGTGTATGAGATTGGAGTTGAACAGTAACGAGAAACTGAGGGAAGCACGTCGAGAAACTGGTAGTCGGGGACGTGTTGACGTCGAACGCTGGAGTAAAAATATCAGACACGATCCCTCATTGGATCTCGATCAATACTGAAATCCCGAAAAGGAAGGCGCCGGGTCCTCAGCCAATTTAAACTCAGCTGTCCAGGCCTCTCACAACGACTGTCTTGTGAGGGGCCGGTTACAGGCCTAAGGGGCGACAATCGAACTATGGGGCCTGTCTTTAGCAAGTTCAAGTTACAGAATTGAAGGGGGACGGTACTACATTGTATTGACGGTGGCGGCATGTGAGTGTTTCGCAATTGTAAGGGGTCCCTCTCTGGCATCCCTCTCTGGCAAATGACGCGAATCTCGGCCTCAATTCTGTTCCCAAGTGGTTTCTTCATCGACCACATGAATAAGACCGTCAGCTGGACTGTGGCTGTATGAATGCGGGGAAGGTACACGCGCCCTTTCGGTCCCTTTCGTTCTTTGCATTGGACTAAGTCTTAAGACCTTGGTAGTGTTGTTGCCTTGACGAATTAGAGTCCAGTGACCAGGGAACCTGCAGCGAACCAAGGACAAAATCGATAGCCTACCGACTCCGGCGGAACCCAGTGTGGGTCGCTATCACAAATCATCATTAGAGGCAATGGGTGATAGTCCCAGCGCCCTCCCGCGTCCCGCGTCGCCCAACACAGAGAGCTCGCCAGAACTGAGAAAATGGGCAAATAAACAGAAGACATACCACATGACTCCATCAAGTCCTCCAGTCGCTCTCGTACGTGGCGATCGTGAGCAGAGTGATTGCTCACATCATGCGTGATTTTTCAACGACTAATCAAACCTAAATTTACTCCTCTATGTCAGTGGCGGTATTACGAAGTCCAATAATTAATCTCTGGTCTGGTGGGCCCAATCATCGGCGGACGAAGTTCTACGAAGTCGCGGCCAGTTACATACGAGAGGGCACCGAAAGGGACTGCTTGATGTTTACTGTAGGCACATCATGGCTAAGGATAACTTATCAAGCCGTCCCTGAGCTAGAGAATTTGTGGGAGGAAGAGGGACCTTGTTGACCATAAGTAGACGCATTCGGTCCCAATGTCTACTACGTCTGAGCACTATAGACAGCTGTGGCGAGTCTTCATCTCATGTGTCACGGGCTTTCGCCCCCGTACTCAGTGAGGATGAAACATTGACGGGTCGTTATCCCTGAGTCGTCCACAGCGTGTCGGAGGACTGAGGATTTGGGCGGTGGATCAATTAATGATGCTCCGTGTTTCCCGACTCGAGAATTCATACAAGATAACTCCAGAGGGACCTACGACGGCTAAATCAGGCCGCCCAGAAAGCTGCCAGGAAGATTGAACTAGTTCATTGCTTATTCGTTTTCTAGCGCATTGCATAACCATGATGGCCGACTAACACTCATCTATCAGTAAATTCGAAATCTCTGCACCTCGGCGGATTGGGATTCAGGCTCGGCCAGCGGAAGCGCGGGATCGTCTTCAGCGAGCAGGATAGTTTGGTGTTCTAGTGTGACAGCAATGCAGATCCATCATGAACTCAAAGCCTACAGAAAGACAGCTTTGATCAAATGAACCATGTCTATTGTCCACACACACCCAGCGGAATTACCGGATCTGCAACCACGGTCTACGGCCATTAGATCGACCTGTTCCACGACATTCACCCGGTCAGTGGCTGAACTGCCGCACGAGATTGTCGGGAGTTGATTAATAACTCAAAATCACGCACCGGAGAGATCGCGATGGAATTGGGTGGCGAGTCCAAAGAAGGAGGATAGGTATTGGATATTGGAAGCGGACACCTGGAAGGCACGTTTGTCCGGTTAGTTTCACTCACCATATACTAACCATGCATTTCCATGTACCGAGTCTCCACGGAGAACGTCAGCGCCGACGTCGTCGGCTACGAAAGCTCGTCCAGTGCCAGTGATGGCCAAGACGATTGCGCAAATTTCCCAGCCCCGAATAAACGCATACATATGTGTGTGCGTGCAAAGGAATGCACATTGATTAAACGTTTGTCCAATGTCGAGGACTTCAGACATCGTGAATGAGACTATCTGTGATAGAAGGCTCTACAAAGAACAGGAGAAAGCATGGTGGGAGGTGGTCTGTCGCTGATATCGATGTCGAACTTGAGTTTGAGCCTGAATCGATGGCGAAGCCGAGGTTTCCCACTCAGCCACCACGTTCAATCCTCCCCCAATGTCTCGTAATGTAAATTTCAACAACAATGGTTTCATCCTTCTGGTTCCACCCCAACGAAAGCGAATAGCTTTCATGAGAGGAGAAATTCGAGTGTTGAAACGTTGACCCTTGATGTCGTGCACCTTGCCAGTGCCAACCGGAATAGGAGTCTGGGAAAAAAGGAGGGACCAGGAACCATAGAGGAAGGGGGATCCCCGGAAGAATTATCCCGTTGCCATTCGATGGTGACAAGGACGTGCTGACAGCCCTTAGCGCAGGCTTTCGGACGGCGTGATAGTGACCGATCGTGTCGATTCCGGGGCGGCTGGGGCAGGAATCGAATCGATCGTGGTTATTATTTCATGGGCTCGGCGGCGGCGGTCAGTAAGAAATAAGAAAATCAGAGGTGGCAGAAAAGCGGAGGTACGTTGTAATTGCCTTGAGCGGTGAGGTGTACAAAGCATGATCAACCCAGGGGGGCCAAGAAAAATCTAGAAAAGAACGTACAACCATTTCCCTCTAGCCGACTTGAACGACTGACCTCTTCATAGTCACATCTTCAGTTGATACTAGTGAAGCGCTCTACCACTGAGCTAAGAGGGATACATCAGATAGAGCACATGATAACATCATGGTCGTCTAGCCGTAGTTGATTGCATCAAGCACATCGAATCCAAGGACTCCTCCAAGAATGAAAAATGTTGGCCAAAGCACTCTGTGCTGGAAGGTAACACAGATGTGTGACAGGAAAGCTAAGGGGGTATCTCAAGCTTGGTGCAAAAACCATGATCGATCTGGAGTCTGCGCTCCGCGCAGTGGATTACCATCACCACCGTTATTGCCACCGACAGTGTAACCAGCTGCTTTAGGGAAGAGACGAGAGTTGAAGTTGGACGTCGCAGTCGTTTCAGAGTGCTCACTACGGTAGATGAGGCGACAGTGCTCGGGACTGCGCGGACGGGAGTAGTAACTGACTGGGTCCGCGGGTCGCAGTTGTTTCACGGTGAATGCCACGAAGCGGGACTGAGACCCTATTGTTGGCAATGAATAAGAGTAAATCTGTCGCAACTCACCGTGACTCAGTGCTCGGCGCAGTTGGGAATGCTCACGTTGATTTTGGCAAGGTATGGGGTCAGGATTGGTACACGGTAAGGATTGAATATTAAATGGCCCACTCGATAGGTCGTGTTTGAAGTATTTAGCAATCTCCTGGTAACCACGGACGTTGCCATCGAAATAAGAATATTCGAGTTATGTGATTGACCTAACAGCCAGAGGACCATACGGGACGAGCTCGTTCCTTAGTGGTATTCTATGAATACTCGAACCAGCGGGTGGCAGTGGAATCCAAGGACCGCTCCAAATATCCCCGACGCGTCGAGAAAAGGCCTCAATTGAGTAGTTCACCACCGACCGCATGGGCGACCCGGCGAACTTGAGCTGGACGCGAAGAAGTATAATTTCCGAACGTGAGTGGAATACTGAAATTGTTCTGGAAGGGGTGACAGATCGCTCGGAATGAACATCGACAGTGAGCCATATCGTCGAACTTCGTCGAAGCTGTGATTCAGAATTCTCTACGGTAGGTCCCAAGCCGGAGAACGAGGCCATGATTGATTCAGCGTGACGAATATCGGCATAATGGGCACCCTCGCTCGTAATGTCCATCATCCGATCCTAAGCCACGACCACCCCGTTCCAAATTCGACGCGCCGGGAGGCCAGGAGGCCTGTTTCGGATGAACTTCGCGAGGTGATGAGAGCTTTCGCTATTCAGTGTGCCCTTAGGAATTAAGAAATTTTGGAAGCCCTTACCATCTAGCCAGGAAGAACCATTGCAATATATCTCAAGGCGCGACGCTGGCGCTTGCAGAAGCTCGAAGACGTGTGGTTTCTCCAAAGGAGGGTATCCGGAGGGTGCTCGTGGGTCCCCATTAGCCACCCTTGAATGTGAAGATGTGATCATGGGGAGTTGCAAATGTTAATTAACTCCCGACTAGGCTGTTACGAATCACGATGCTTGTCGGTGCTTCATTGAAAATCGGACGTATCCTGTGAGTTAGTGGGGAGTATAGAGAGCAAACGGACGGTCCACCCACTCGCTAGGATCACATTGGTGACATCTATCATTTCTTTTCTTGGCGTTCTGAGCGTGAACAAGCGTGAACGTGAAGTTGGGGCCGTGACCGGTAGATTTAGAGTCGCTTGCTTCCTATCACAACATGTTTTGGAGTCGTTGGATTACGTGAAAGCGAGGAAGGAAAAACAAACGGAGTCACAGACCATTCCGAGGCCTCGCCCTCTGAGTTCGTTGTTCCCTCCCTTGAATATGAGGGTGCTTATAGGTCCCCGTCTATGAATCGTTGCCCTGCCAACAGTCGCTTGTGCCCGTTTGGCTCATTTATACACCCAAGATTTGTTACTCAACATTCAAACTCGGTACTTGTGTAGGAGATGGGGAACTGGGGACGCCGGCAAGGGGGTCTTTCCGATTTACGTTCTCTGTCAACAAAACGTAAAATGAACACTCTTTCTTTCTTTCGTATACCCATGCTTACCATACAATAGACGGGCTCTACATACTAAGTAGATGGGGATCAATCATCCACGGTACATACAAACATACAAGCAACACTTCCGGGTAGAAACGTGTCTTCAGTGTGACATTCGACGAAAGAGTTGCATGGTTGGTACGTACCGTACGCACGCTGTGATGTGGCTGTCTGGGTCTTAGTGGGACTCGGCCTATTTTTACGCATAGTCGGCTGGAGGCGAAAGTTGTCAACTCAGTTGCGAGGAAAGGTGCAAGATTTAAAGTCGGCTCCTGCTAACAAGCCCGATAGAGGCCTTAGGCATCGGTATCCTCAAGGTGGGGACAATGCCCAAGGAATCGACCACACGCAGGCGTCCTGTCGTGCTTGATTTTCAGCGATGATAGACCTTCTTTTCACGAGGCCCTAGAATGGTCAGTGTGATCGAGAATCTCCTTCTCCAGCTCAAGCGTCGTATACGTCAAACCTAAGGGAGAGCCATGAGGAGTCATGCCGCAGGTTTGCTACCATTACGGTACTGCGGGCAAGCAGGGAGCCGTAGATGGCGAGACAGAGGCCGAATTGCCACTGGCCAATTTAGTATCGGGGGTACAGTAAGCACCAGGCCATCCGACAGGAGCTGTGTGGTTCCTTGTACTCGTAGATCCAACAATCGGGTTAGCTTGGACGGACACAGAGAAAATGGTCGGTCCAGAGGGTGGTGGGGAATCTGAATCGAGAAGAGACAAAGACGAATCAGCCACCAGATCAAAAGACTAGGGACGGGATATTTGTTGCGGCCAATAAGTATAACTTGCTCTTACCTCACAATAGACGAACATCGAGAGTACGCCGAGCCGAAGCATGAGTTCAGAGCGAGTGGCGACGAGGTCGTGAGCTATCGACTGAATGACTGTCACCCGACCGAATTAACGTTAGCACGGTTCGCCACCAGCGGACAGCATAGCCGTCTGAGCTCGACTTGTGTTTGGGTTTGAGAGCTGATATCGCGTGGGCTCCCGTTCTGTGCACAGAAGTTTTGCTGCGGCGAAGTTCAGGCTGTGAATCATCATTTATGATCAGATTGCTGGCTGTCAAGTCGAATTCGCTAGAAAGAGCTTTCGAGAAACGTCATCAGATGTCGCAATCAATTATGAATTGAATACGTGCTCCTGAAAGGAGGTAGAAGGACGTTGAGAGCAGGTTTAGGCCTGGTGGCGGCACGGAAAGCGCGTGCGTCGAAGATAACACATCTGGATGTCTTTCACACTGGATGACTTCCCGTAAGAGCTGGCAAATAATTGCTCTGCAAATAATCTGAGGGACCACGCGAACACCAGCTAGCCGACGGAGCTACTTCCAAATGGGTCGGTTATTTGACGAAAAAATCGTTTAGAACAGGGTCCCGACCCCGTTCTAAACTGTGAGCTCGTCAAAAAACGTCATTTTTGGAAAGACCTCCGGTCGGCTATCAATTGCTTGGGTGTTATTTGCAGGAAATTGCAGACCGATTATTTGCAGGCCCTTACGGGAAGTCATCCACTGACGCAGGCCACTCCAAGACGCCAGATATAGAAGAGCACGAGGAAAGATCCTCGGATGATAATCCGTTGCAGTGTTGCAATTTGAATACCTCGGGCTCCTCGAGGCAACTCGATAGACGAGGGGCTGCCAGATATTTAGTGCAAGTATAATTTTCGCTTTTGTTGTTCTTTTTTGTGTGAGCTGTTTCCAGAGAACTCGGAGAGAGGAGCTATGTCGAGGTTAAAACAAAAGCACATTGTTGATGTTGGACGAGGGGCGGGCGTGTGAAAAGTTGGCACGCGAGAGTTTGAAGGAACGCGGCATTGGCGCTGGTGGCAGGCAGGCAAGCATGACCCTGTAGAGTGACTATAAGCCTTGTTACACACCCTTACCATTTCCCTTGTCTTTTTTCGCTATCGAATGCTCTGAGCCAGTCCTGAGCAAGTCTTTCCGAATTGCTCTCGCCTCGCCCCGACCTCTTTGCTCGTTTCTGATAACCGAAATCGTCACCATTGATCCCATTACTCACACAAATTCTGCGCGAGGCTCTCCACCTCGTCATCCTCATTCACAAGCTCTGGAACCACCAGCGAACCCCTTGAATACAGCTACAGCAGAGTATCGACTATCCGCATCGAGTCTTATTCCTGCGACCCGTACCAGAGAAGAGATAGAGCCAGAGCTCGACGAGAGTAGCAACGTCGGTGAGCATACTAATAAATTCTGTTTGTAGTTTCTATCTGGTTACATCTTCTGACTTACCTCGTTTTTCTTTACTTTGTCTATCAGACGTTGACAGTCCAAGAGCTCGCAAGAGACAACGGATCGGTAGCCCAAGTACCACTCACTCCACCTCAACTTCCGTTTCAAGCCCAATTCCAATCCCAACCTCCAACTCAGCACTCCCACAATCTTTGACTACCAACACTATGAGATTGACAGAATCCGACGACCAATCCCAAGAATACCCGGCGAACTCGTTATTGACGTCCCCCGATCCCTCGAGCTCAGGTTCCGCTTTGAGGGGGACGCCGCTCAATGATGGCTCTACCAATAATGCTCATAACGTTTCCGGCTCAAGCTCGACTAACGGGGTGTATTCAAACGGAAAGAGTCACCTTGGGGCGAATGGATTTAGCGTCGGGTCCGGGGTAGCCGGAGGTAGTAGCAATGGGGTGCACAAACGCGGGAAGAGCCCCGCATCAGCAATTGCGAGAGTCAGTTTGCCCGGAGATCTGCTGTACGAAGATGCGGATGTGGGTGTCAATAGGGAAGAATTTGTGAGGCTGCTGTTGCAAGGCTTGAGAGACGTGGGATATATGTGCGTTTCACAAAGCCTTCTTTGGATCACATTCGCGACTAACGGTCATTCTCATGGTCTGTCCAAAAAGGGAATCTGCGGCGACACTCGAGGCAGAGTCAGGATATACCATGGAGTCTTCAGAAGCACGAAGCTTCCGGGATCATGTATTGATGGGTAACTGGGGAAAGGCTGAGGCGGCGTTATCGAGAATGGGAATGATAGATGAACATGAGATGATGGTTCGTA